ATGGAAACTACTGGCTTAGGGTTTAGGGTTTAGAGCTGTCAGGGGGACTTAATAAGTAGGTTGATGATGGGGATAACAGGGGTTACTATATAGGGGTTGGAAGTACATACTTACTAAGTTCCCCTGACCTTCCAAGTAGGGGTCATAGGGCCGGGTGTTCCACAAATTCGGGGTCTTCTTGGCGGGTACCTAGAAAAAGGGGAAATCGCATATTGGATTTGATTTTGGGGTCCCCCTAAACCCTAAACCCTAAACCCAGGTAGGTCGTCCAAATTCTGGTGTATTTATTGAGGCCTAGGGCCAGGCAGTGAGCGCTTCCTGGATTGTAAAATCATCATCTAAAGCATAACTGGCGGCTTCCAAAAAATCAGGGGTCCTTTTTCCCGGCAACCCCGTAATAAGGATTGTAGGGCATTGCAGCCTTTCTTGGGGTTCCCTTCCTGACCTAAACTACCAATCCAAGACCCCGGATGGAGAAAGTAGAGCCCCCCATATGATACCCTATACTGCCATTGAGGAATTTTCAGGATTCCTTACAGATCTACAGATCCTGCCACTGGCTTGGGTGGAGTTGGCATTGCCCGTCAGTGGCTTGTAACAGGTTGTTTGGCTGCATGCGGAGGTGATGATGGTGCATGGATAGGTCAACCCCAAATCCTAACCCCCTACAGGCCTAAACCTCTGAACCCTAAACCCCCTACCCATCAGTGACCATCATGATGGCCTTCTGGCTTTGGATCTCAACCGGCACTACCCAGGTCTGCGATGATTTCTTGCAGCGACTCTGCTGGGTCTCCACAGCAGATGGCCAGGAGGCCCCACTTCGCTCCACACAAGTCAGCTATAAGCTTGACAACCGCGGTTGCATGTGTATTTGTATTTGTATATATGTAGCTGTATGGTGTGCACCGAAAACTAGTCATGTGGCGTTCGAAGCCAGTCATGGGGCATGCCCCACCACGAATAAAAATGCCACGAGATATAAATGAGAAAATCAGTAGATAAATTCTACATATAATACATATATATATACATATGTACAGCCATCAGAAGAAGGGCGCGAAGCCCTGAACACGGCCTCAACAATACCCACATTGGCCCGGACACATCTGGATTACACAATGTTGCGCCTGTGTGTCACATTGGCCCTAGTCAGATACCTATGAAGCGTGTACCTGGGGCCCAAAGCAGACAGTGCAATTGATGGTACAGTGCCGCAGAGGAAGTCGAAAACCAGGGTCTGGAAACGGAACCTAAGAATTCACCGACAATGCAGGGCCATGCTGGTTCATTAATGGCTCAAGACTACTAAGTTGTAGGTTTCAAGGGTAATGTAGACCCATGACTAATAAACCCCCTCCTTTTCAGGGCCCCGATACTAGGATCCCTAATATAATCCCTATTAAGGAGAGGGGGTTTATTAATCATGGGTCTGGGTCAACAGGTATCTCTGCATTCAGCTGGATGACTCGATGTTGCACATGTGTGCCACATGGCCCTCTGCAATGCCGATGTCTTTGCCACCTTCCTGTGGTGCGTGTAGGGTTTAGGTTTTTGGGCTTAGGGTTTAGGGGACAGGATATGAGGAATCCTCTTTGCTGGGATCATGGAAGAGTTGTTTCGTCAAGTGGGATAGGCAGTCCATTTCTTTGTTCGGACGGTCTGGTGTTGACTTGGGGCTACTGGCTGAGCCTAACTCACATCCCCCTTAGTACTTATCCCCCAAACCCCCCTGACAAAAGATGTGCCATACCTGTACTATTCTATAGTCAGGGCACTGTCCATAAGGAGGCGGGGAGGTTTATTATTAGGGGAGGAGACTGGTACCTTGCTAATCTTCGCCATGAGGTGAAGGTTGGTTTTGAACGCTTCCGCTTTCATTCTTGAGTGGGCATCAATCAATTTTTTTGCGCCACAGTACAGCCGTCCCATACAATCCATTGCCCTGGATCTCTGCTGGTGCAAAAACGGGTGCATTTAGCTGCTGGTTACGACTATAGAATGCAAACCATAAGAACCTTCACAGAAGCACTTGAAGCCTCTACACCCAAAGCCCTAAACCCTGAACCCAAAGCCCCATACCCTAGAACCCAAAGGCCTCAACCCAAAGCCCTTGACCCCGAACTCAAAGCCGTAAACCTTAAGCCCTAAACCCTAAACTAAAAGCCCTAAACCCTAAACTCAATTCCTAAACCCTAAACCCAAAGCCGTAAACCCTAAACCCAAAGCCCTAAACCCTAAACCCAAAGCCCTAAACCCAATTTAAAGCCCTAAGCCCTGAACTCAAATCCGTAAAGCTTAAGCCCGAAGCCCCAAACCCTAAACCCAAAGCCCTAAACCAAGACACCCTTTACCCTAAACTCAGAGCCGCGAACCTGAAGCACAAAGCCCTAAACCCTAAACTCAGAGTCCTGAACCCTAAACCCAAAGCCCTGAACCCTAAACCCAAAGCCCTAAGCCCTAAACCCAAAGCCCTAGTATAAGCTCTAACTAAGCCCCGGCCGTGTCGTACACCAGGGACGGGTCAGTGCAGCCCCAGTTCTCGATGATGGATTTCTGCGTCTCCGTGAAGCCAGCCTGCTGGCTTTGGGTTTAAGGGGTTTAGGGGATGAATGGTTATGGGTTTAAGGGGTTCAGGGTTTAGGGTATTAATGGTTATGGGTTTAGGGTTCAGGGTTTAGGGGATTAATGGTTTTGGGTTTAGGGTTCAGGGTTTAGGGGATTCATGGTTATGGGTTTAGGGTTCAGGGTTAGGGGATTAATGGTTATGGGTTTGGGGTTCAGGGTTTAGGGGGATTAATGGTTATGGGTTTAGGGTTCAGGGTTAGGGGATTAATGGTTATGGGTTTAGGGGATTAATGAGGGAGAATCATCCCTATATACTAGTTACTTTCCCATATGCCCTACTAACTCCCCAGTTAACTTTTGTAGGTGTTTAGGGTTCCGGGGTTTGGGATTTTGGGTTGAGGGGTTCAGGGTTTAGGGGAGTAGGGTTTGTAGGGGCTATGGGTCAGGAGTTTTGAGTCCAGGGTTGGTGTAGGGGCCTGGATGGCTATCCTGGAACTTTTTCCATACAGCTATACTGCTGTTCTGTAGCTTAAGGCTAATCCATAAGCGGCAGAACGTTCCTATAGTGATTGTACATTATTCGCCTTAGAGATACCCAAGAGCGATGTGCTGCGGATCAGAGAAACTTCATCAAGATGTTTCAGGCGTAGTTGTATGAGCCATCGTCTAACCTCCGAGTATCCCCTTAATAACCCAATATGACCCCCCTGTCAGGAGTTTAGACTCCAGCTTTTCTAGGTTGTGGGAAAGGGAGAGTATGGGATATTAGTACTGTTGTTGTCCTCTTAAGCCGCCTCATTCCACGGAGTTTACCTATAACCCTGATTACATATACCTTAATGGTAATCATCCCCTATGATTAGTAGGCATAACCCAAAATTCTCTAGGTAGTTGCGGTTGCAGGCAATACACTCCCCCATCGTAACATGGAAACCCATATAGTCCCTTTTTAGAAGGACTGTAATCTTTATAGGGCTCCTTTTTGGTTTCCATGTTAGTTTCCGGGAGTGTAGTTCTATAGAGGGTTCCCGGTTTAGCAATCTGGGCTCCTAGTTATCATGGATTGAACCTGTGATCGAGCATGCTTATCGGTGTTGCCTCGATTGGACAAAGGACCCAAACAATGATCCAACACACAGAAACCCTTCAGGAACAGCTACATCCCAAAAAGTATGATGGGTGGTTGGTTGTCAAAATTATGGTCCCTTTTTGAGTACCCTAAATATTAGGTGCTGTATTATAATAGGGACCCAAAAAGGGATCATAATTTTGACAACCATCCAGATCCTAAGCCTGCACGTTTTGACCTTGCGCCGCACCATTCCTCCGGCCGTGCCTCAAAAGGCCCGTAGATGTGCGCGTTGGATGCGATTGTTCCCTTGAAGGCCAAGTGAGCTTCCCCCCAAAAAGTTGGTGCCTGTGGGGCCTTCTAGGAGCTTCAGTCTAGAAAAGTTTGGGGTGTTTTGGGGGAGCTGTAGTCTAAACTCCTAGTATCCCCCTGAATAACCCTATCTTCTCCCTATCTAATCCGCTATATAACCCCCTTTAGGGGGTTTAGACCCTAAACCCTAAATCCTAAACCCCGTATAACCCCCTCTAAGGAGTTTAAACTACAGCTCATATGTCCTTGCCCCGGAGGCTGCATGAAACCACAGTTGAACGGGGACAAAGAAATCTCGGCGCAGATTTGGGGGTTTCCAAAATTAGGGGTCCTTTTTGGGGGTTCCTCTATTAAGGATTGTAGTATTTTGGGGTCTATACCATTTTAGGGGTCCCTGTAATAAGGACTATAGTATTTTGGGGTCTATATTGGGGTCCCCCCATTTTGGGAAACTACCGTTTAAGGCTTCCGGCGACGCGAAGCTACAGTTGTGGGTTCAGGGCTTAGGTCTTAGGGTTTAGACTTTTCGGGTTTAAGTTTTAGGGTTTAAGTTTTGAGGTTTAGGGTGGGCTACCCAGACCCTAAACCCCCTTAGCAGGCAGTATCAAATGACAGCTACCGGGTTGAGCCCAACATGGTCCTTGCGCCACTTGGCAATGGACGAGAACAGAAGTATGTCTCCTTCATAGTTCCGATACAACCAGTACAGTAATTAAGCCCCAAAAGTACGTAGAAGAATTAATAACAGCCTTTTTTCCTGGGTTTTCGGCTTTTTGGTCTACCTTTCAGGTCCAGGTACAAGTCCAGCGAAAGTGGTAAAATCAAAAAGTCCGCTTGACACCCTACACCCGAAGGCTTGGTATGACCTGAGGCAGCAGCCCTCGCTGGCAGCTTACTGCAGGTTGAACCACACCTTGACCTAGAAGTCTACTGCAAGAAAGTAAATATAGTGGGGCTGGGGTTTAGGGTTTAGGTTTAGGGCTTAGGGTCTCATATTGATTTTTTAGGCCGCTATGCTAGCATTCTATTGCAAGGTTCAGGTAAACACTGACCCCATAGACTTTCTAAACCCAATACACACTAAAGATCACCAAAAACTCGCTCCCAAAAAAACAAGCAATCGCAAAAACGCCACAAACAAGACTTAGACATCCGATATAAAGCCTAAACCCTGAACCCTAAACCTTAACCCTAGACCCTAAACCCTAGATCATGTAAACCCTGATCCCTGAACCCTAAATGGTAGTTTCCCTACATAGGGGGACCCCAATATAGACCCAAATACTATAGTCCTTATTGTTGGGACCCCTAGAATGGTACCCCTACTTTTGGGAAACCCCTAAATCATGCTTCAGAACCCAAACCCTAAACCCTAAACCCTAAACCCTAAAAGAACCCAGTGGCCCCTGCTGCAACCAGCTCGTGGGCCAAAGTTTCAGTTCCCGAAACCGTGGTGCAGCCCACATCGCCAAGCCTTTGCTGTATTGGGAGGGGGTTTAGGGTTCTAGGGGCTTAGAGTTTCAGGGGCTTAGGGTTTTAGGGGTTTA